GATAATAAAGGAAAAGTCTTACTAACAGAAATTTCTCTGAATTCATCACATGCTCATTTAATTAGCTTCTGTTGGTTTTTCACTCTTTTTAAAGTATCAAATGATTTTTAAAAACCTGTCAAATATAATTTGATACTTTATTTTCCAGTTTACTAAACAGTGTTAGTTGTGTCATAAAACATAGAATAATGTATAAACTTAAATTAACAACTAAGAGTTTAGGGATGTTATTGGTTAAACTGAGAAAATACTTTGCTTTTACGTGACAGTACATGCTCTGTCCGTGTACCTGCAAGTATCTGATGTTCCAGTTGATGGTAAGATGTGACTCATAAGGCTGTTACCATCTCTCAGCATCTCTTCCCCTCCACACTGAGCTCACTGAGCCATTTGCGTAACTGAAGAGCCGGGTGGAAACTGTCAACAGGAAAAGATGTGCGAATTGTCTGGCAGGGCTGTGAAAGTTTCAGTGACTTGTGCCAGCACATCCTCTGAGAAAGCTCTTGAACATCGCCTCAGGTTACCTGATCTTTGTTGTATGAAGTAGTTTACATATCTAAGGAAGGGAGGTGACCTGCTTTTCCTTTTCCTTTTGTGTCCCTGGTTTAAGAGAAATTACAGTTTCCAAGTAGAGTTGTTGTTGCTGGTTTCAGACTCATGACGTATTTGCCTTACTTGATGGGATTGGCTCAGATTTCTGTGATTTGTATGTCCCTACATGATAAAGACAACAAAATTGAACTTGAATGTAGTGTCATGACATCTGGGCATTGTAATCATGTTGGTGATCACTTGATTTTCATGTTGCACCATCAAATGTTCAGTCATCAGTAAATGTCCTCAGATGGAAACAATTTAATACATGAAATGATGCAAGGCTAAACTAAGAAGAAAAAAATGGGAAATATAAACCTACTTACACTTTGTATTTTTTGCATGATAGCATGCTGATGTTGGTGTTAAGCTGGGTACATGCTCTCAGACCTGCTGGCTTAGTTATTGTTTTGATTCATATAATTTTTTACAGGACTTGGTTTGTAATCTGAAGGTATATTTTCTGTCCTAATTATCCTTATTATTTAAATGAATTGGCAACCAACATCAACCTGGAGGTACTGCAATACCAGGTTGATGTATCAATTTCAGTTTATATTTTAAACTAGCTGTATAAGTACAGTGCTTTGTGTTTGACCTTTGAATCAAAGCGTATCCACTGCTTTAAAAAAATAAAACATCAGCTCCAAACAGCAGCTAATGACACATGATTATGTTTGTGCCACGACGAACAGTTTCTACCCTGGAAAGAACCAATCTTTATTTTCTCTGTGTAAAGGTGTTGCAATGGTATCTCTATTGCTTTCACCACCCACGTGGAAACATTGACAGGTGAAAATAACATGCTCACTGCCCTTCTGTGGGGATTATTAATATAACACATTCTGGGAAACGTAGGAGATGACTGACTGAAGTTGATACAACACAATATCTCAATACACGATAACCCCTGAAAAGCATCATAGAATCTATGACAGTAATAGTGTCATGTTCTGAGCCTTTAAAGTAAGACTAGTTCTTTAGTGAGATTTCAGTTCAAATGGAAAAACATGTTGATGTGGTTGATGTTAAATCTGGTGTTCATATGATGAATCATCTACAGATAAATGACAACAAAGCATGAGCATTGTGTCCACGTGGTTTAAGCATTCATCGTGTCATTGTGTGCAAACGGCATACAGGCAACCAAATTAGATTGTTTGATCTGTACATATGTGCAATATTTCAAAGCAAGATGTTCAATAAATGCTGTTTATTGAGTACAGTGGTATGTTCCTTCTTTCACATTCACTCACCTATAACCTGAGGGCTGTGTCACAGAGAGCAGAGTTAGGCATGTGGTTAGTGCAAGAATTCAGCTATTAGTCAGCAGCACTTTCCAGGAACGGAACACAAGTCAGTGCACAGTAACACTTTTCAGGCCTCTCTGATCGCTATAAACACCTTGTCACAAGATTTCTATGAAGCAGAGGAGATTTGTGTTGGGTGTCAATTCCTGGTATTACAGGTCCAGTGTGTAAGAGTTTTCTGAGTTTTCTGACAACTGAAGGTTACCACAGGTTCTCTCTCATGTTTGGAAGGGGAGGGTGAAGGGTGTTCAGCTGCAACATGCAACTTCACCATTAGAAGTCACTAAATTATACACACTGAACCTTTAATAGGCTATCTTTTAAAAAAACATACAGTATTATTAACTTTTTTTTATAGGTTCATCCTTGGGACTAGTTTTTTTAAATATGATTAATCACCTTCTTGCCTAGATTGCAATGAAAAAATTTATTAAAAAAATGTATACTATTTATTTTTGTGCTGTAAATAAAGCAGTACCTACTGCAAACAGCTGGATAGCTTAGTTTACCATTAAGTCTAGAAATGGCAAACCCGGCAGGTGACAAAACCTTTTAAAGCTAAGAAATAATACAAAATATCTCATTAGTTTAATTAACAGCACGTTGTGGATTTAGATAACATTTTTGTTTTTGTGTAAATCAAACAAACAGGACAGAAAATAAATAATTACTAAGCTTTAGAGCTGTTGGTTGGAAAATAAGCCGGGGGCGGATCCATGGGCCGAGCCACAAGGGCACTGGCCCTCAAGTGACACGAGTCACTTGAAATGCAAACAATAAATAAGACAATTTGTTCAGAATTGTCATTTTCAAAGTACACAGTGTGCTTGAACCAGGAATGGTTTTCAAAATATATTGATGCTTTGCTCAAACCTGTAGAGCTAACAGTAGACAAGGAATGAATTCATGTGCACCTTACCGAATCAGGAATTGTGTATGTATGTTGGACATTTTATTTGCCCTGCTGTGTAAATTGTGGCCACTTTATGGGGCCCCCGAATCCTAGATACACCAATGAGCCGGGCTAACCAGCTAATGAGGGCTCATGTTTAATAAACAGACATGAGAGTGGAGCTGATTATCTCATCCGCAAATAATACCATTTGTATATTTTTTTATTTAAAAAAATCCACCATGTGAAATATGTTCGTAACTTCAGAATGTCACCTCCTCCTCCAGCCATGAAAACAAATAAAATCCCAGACATAATGTTGAGTTTATGACCTCTGTCAGTTTTTGCTCAGTACATTTGTGATTTTTAGAAAATCCAGTTAGATGTGATTTCCATAAAGCCTTTATATGAACATTAATAAGTTCAGACTTAATACTGGCATATGGGGTCTAATGGTCTTATAGTGGATTATGTTGGACCAGAGGCTTCAACATACTGTCCAGACAACATCTTGGAACAACCACTACATGCCTTAATCTCTGCCTCCAGTTTTCACTGGCCAGTACGGTCAGTTAAATCGGGCCTTCATCTCTTAAGAGTTTGATGTTCTCAAAGTTGCTGGACATTATGTGGGCAGGACTGAAGTTCACCAATCACCGTTTCCCAAATGTCATGATGTCAGTTGGTTTCACAGGAAGTCTATTGTTTTCCACCCCCTTTTCCCTTTGGTTTTTCAACCAGACTTTCTCACGCCTCATTATTTACAGTCCGCCTATTGTGGGATTGTATTTTTTGTGTAAAAAAACCAAACATACACAGCATGTGAATGTACCTATAATTAAACTTTCCTTGACAGAAAAAAAAATCTCTTGAAGTCAGAGAAATAAATAACCCACCTCTCAAAAGGCTTTTCCTCCATTGCTGGCGTATATTTCAGGGGAGGATTAACACAGCAATGATAAATCTTCCCAACCTCACACACTCTCATGTGCTGTTTTGCATTACATTACTTTTGCAGACTCATTAGGAACAAACCGTCTCCATTCTGAAATATATCAGCAGCTGATAATAATTGTGTAGACCTGTGTGTGTGTGTGGGGTCATATTACAACAGTTTTATCATTCTGTTGGGTATTTTCTGTTTCCTGTGATGGCATGGAATTCCCGTATAAGAGTATTGGAATTTAATGTAGCATGAGTTGAGAGTTTCACTAATTAAATTGCTATTCTTGTAACTATGACAGGGGCTCTGCTCCCTTTCTTAGTAATTTCCTCTCGTTTTATACATAGAATGTAGGTTCAGGCAGTAATGTACAGTTAGTTTAGAGAGAACTGTTGGGTCACATGATATAATGAAGGCTACTGAAGGTCTGCTTGAAATGTATATGAATAATAATTGTTTATAAAATTAAATAAAGAAAACTTATTCTCCCTCATATTAATGTTATTGCCAGAGAAAGTATATTCTTATTTGCAGAAACATGTTGCATTGGGTAACAACATGGCTTTATCTAGCTGTGGTATCACAAAATCATGCTGCCAAACACACATTTTGGGGAAAAGCACTTATAATTCTGGCGGAGAGTTAAACGAGACAATCTGCCATTGTCATGTCTGTCTATTATGGAGACACCACTGCTGCAACAGCCAGTTAGCTTAGCTTAGCATAAAGACTGGAGCATAAAGATGGATGACATGGCAGCTCCCCAAACTGAAGCCAAGGTGTCTCAATCGCCACCTGGCTGCAGTGCAGGTCATAACTCCCACCTCCTCCATGTTAATGGATGAGACATGGAGTAGACTAAATAAANATAGATTAGAAACCCCACCTCCTCCATGTAAGTAAATGGAATATGGACGTAGATATTAAATACATTTTTCTCAAAGATGGTTTGTCATTTTAGGTAGTTCTTATCACACTGATGTTTGTTCGAATGTTCATATTTCTGGCAGGTTTGGGTTTAATTATTTAGTTAAAGCTATAAAAACAGGGTGAAACATCATGATTGACAGCAGAGACTGACTTGTGACTGGTTGAGCGCATGCATGTAAGGAACCCGTCCCATCGATTGCTAACATGTGGACTATAAATGTGCAAGATGGTGGCGTTCATATTGGGATTTCTTTTCACTTTTCTGGATTCGGGGAGGAATGAGACACATCGTCCATCTCTACATACACTCTATGGTTCAAACACGTAACAGAATCATCCCACCAGCACCATCTAAAGCTCACTGACCCTTAATTATATTTACCTAAACCATAGTCCCATAACCCATAATCCTTTGTCTGTTGTGTTTATTTACCACAAAAACCACAACATATATCTTTTACATTCTGGTTTTAATGCAGATGAACCAAAAAGATGTTTCTTTATCTGTTTCATACCTGTCCAGTCTTTGTGTTAAGCTAAACTAACTAGCTACTGGCTGTTTGCTTCATGTTTACTGTACAAACACAACATAAAGTCGTGTCAGTCTTCTTGTGGAAGTGTCAGCAGGACTGCAAGTAACCACAAAATCCTGTATGTTAAAGGGCAAACTGTTGTCTCAGATTGAGGTTTTTGATACACCACATCAATGATTGTTCCTCAGAGGTGTTTGTAGAAATGTATCCAATGATCTTGTTGCCTTTTCATTAAGTTTCTGGTCTTTTTAGCTGCACAGACCATAAACTACATAAAAGAACAAACTTGTGTGGTATCAATGTTCTGGGCAAGAAACCTAATGTTCCTCAACATTTGAAAGTGAAGACGCTTCCTGAGCAGATGAGTTTCCTGGCGTCACACAGTGACAGTCACTGAACATCATGGAGCCAGTCAGCAGTCCTGCCTCTAGCAGTGACACTCAAAATGGTGATTTTCCTGTTTGGTTTCCTATTTTTATGAATGAAGGCGGAGGTCAGTGAGCTTTCTGGTCTTAACCACCAGGGGGTAGAGCGACACGCAGAAAGAATAGCCTCCTCTCTCTCTCTCTCTCTCTCTCTCTCTCTCTCTCTCTCTCTCTCTCTCTCTCTCTCATACTCAACATAAAGGCGACGTCCAAAGCTAAAAACTTGCGCTTGATGGCACTGGAGGAGTCGGCGGGCAGCTTCAGCCCTCGGGTCCGTGCACGGTGAGGTGGAGGGACGGCAGATCATGGTGTGAAGCCGGTGACCATCGAGCTGAAGCAGAGTCTAGCTGCTCCTCTTTTCTCCTCCCTCTCTCTCGCTCTCTCTCTCTCCTTCCCTTCTCCTCTGAAATCTGACACAACAGAGCCAGCTCTCTCTGTAGTTGTGGATGTCTCAGAGAGGATCTGCAAGAACAGAAACACTGAGCTCGAGCTGCTGCGTTTTTCACATGGCTTCAACCTGGGGCGAGAGGGACAACCCCTGAAGCCCAGTTCTCCACGAGGGACACACACACACACATCTCCGCTATCTGCCGCCGAGTTGATCCAAAGGCAGTCGGAGCCATGGCAGCGACTTTATCAGCAGACGAGGAGCAGGTAGGCCTCACGAGTGTGTTCATGCGCTCCCTCCGCTCTTGTGTCGGGGTTTTTTGTGTTGCAGCCTCGGCCCTGTACCTGGAGGTGGTTGTTCGTTGTTTTTTGGCCCTGTGCGTTTTGCTTGTGCGCGCCGCAGCTGGGCGGAGAGGTGGCGACGTCCGTGCGTAATGGTGGGTATGTTGCGAAATGATCCGGAGGGCTGGAGCGGAAATTTGGTATCGATTTCTGGCGCATTATTGCTGCGGTTGCATCACTGCCAGTTCCTCTCCAGCGGGCCGAGCCGAGCGGTTGCGAAACAGGCCGATCTCTCTCTCTCTCCCTCTCCCCCTCTCCTTCTCTCTCTCTCTCTCTCTCCCTTTCTCTCTCTCTCTCCCTCTCTCAGCAGCCTCCACAGATGTAACCATTCAGAGGAAGCTGCCTGATGCCACATTTGGCTCATTCACCAATGTAGCCTATACTGTAGAGACTTGGTTTATAGTGTCATAGCAATGATGTGGGAATGAAGAACTAGTTTAATCTATGATCATTTTCTAATCCAGACATGTGCTCAAGTTAAAACAACACGATGGATGTGAAATGTATTTTCCCTCACCTTTTGCTTCCAGAGGCCTGAACGGGGCCTTGATAAAGCTTTGAATCTTTATAGATAATAACAGTTTTCTAGAAATGTACTTTTAAAAACTTTTGACAAATCCATTGGTTTCTAAATATGTGACAGCAAATAGCCTTTTGAATGTCGAATGGAAAATTAATTGACATCTATGTCAGTTGATCACTTGTTTGATGTTTTTAAAATTCCTTTTCTGTTTCTTTTTGCTTCCTCAAGAACTAATCGAGTCTGGCCTACATTTTATAATCTCAAAAGCTCTGAGCTAACACTTAGTTTGTAGTGTAAAGAAATGTTGATCTAAATAGTAATTGAGACCAGGATGAAACTCTTTTTCTTTTGATCTGTCATTGTTTCAGAAATAGCTGAAGTCATGACTCCGGTGATCTCTGTATGTGTTAGATGTGTTATTTTGCATGTTCCAGGAAGAGTATGATATTGTATTTTGGGCTTAAGAAAGAAGAACTTACTGTAGAAAGGGAATGAGATTTCATTTTGGCTCTGAAAGAAAGAAATGTGAGTCAGGCAAAGCGAAATTCTGAACTCTGTCAATGTGCTGAGAAAATTGTAGCGGATAGTTAAGTACAAGTAGATGTGAAAAGCTATAGTTGATTGAGTAAATTGCAATTTTTGGGATTACCCAATATTATTTTACATAATTTATCAAGCAAACGTGCCGTAGTTCCAGATTCTCATGTATTAATTTCTTTTGCTGTTGTTGTACGTGATAATGAAAGTTGACGTGCTGGTCAGAAAAAACATATCTAAATGAAGGCTTAAGAGAAAGTGCGAGCTTTTCACTATTTCCTGACATTTTACAGACCCAATGATGAATACTAAATGAAGAAAAGTATCATTAGATTAATTGATAAAACTCTAAAACTTGTGCAATCAAACTGTACACTACAAAACATCAACAAACTCTTGAATGAAGGTTATGATGTTCAGTGTTCATTATTGGAGGCTGTAGTTAGTTGTGCTTTGTTTTGTCCAGGACTCGTCTGTGGTCTCAGACTTCTGGACCTCACTGTAGCTCAATGAGTGCAGAGGCCATTACATCGAATCTCTCTGAAACACAAAGGGGAACTTCTAACCTTTGGAAATTTAGTTTTTATTATATCCTAGAGAACTTTGGTTTTATTAAAGTGTAACTAATAATTTGACAATTTAGTGTGAATTATATTTATCTGGGTTTATGAGCAATCAAACCATCAGCGGCATAAACTGTCCCCAACCATAAGAAATCCAACATGAGCAGAGCAAACAGTCTATAGTTTGAACAGCGTTATTTACTCTAAACAGAGAACAGCTGATTGAGGGATAATAATCAAGTCTCACAAGCTACATTTTGAATCTATGTTTGCTTCTTCTACTTTGTGTTGGCCATGCTCGTGTCTCTTCTCTCTGCTGCCTCCGCACATCATCTGGTCAGCAGAAAGCCTTATCTGGCTACCCCATTTCCTGTGAGAGCCAGGGCCCCCGCTAGGGTACCGGAAGCCCTCATTACATCCACAGCCATGTGGGGGGTGTTTGGGTGGATTGTGTGTGTGTGTGTCTGTGTGTGTGTGTGTATGTGTGGTAGGGTGGCTCTCTCTGGAGCATACATGGGTGTAGTGGAACTTCATTCTAAAGGCAGCTGTTAAAAGCATTTCCACTAAACTTGGGGGAAGGGGGAAGGGGGAGTTTATGAGTTTGTGTGTGTGTGTGTGTGTGTATGTGTGTGTGTATGTGTGTGTGTATGTGTGTGCGTTGTGTCTACTCCCAGTAAGCAGTGGAGTGAGAGTAACGTCACTCTCTCCCTATTCCCCACTTTCTGACTTCCTGTTTTGGTATTGACTCGTGCCAAATGGGTTTCACTGAAGTGAAGCTGAGCCGCTTGGCATCAGCAGTGCTAAAATATCAAGGGCAACCATGAATCCTCTTGTATATAATAATAACAATAATCATACAGAAATGAATAAGCCCTGTCTGTAGGTGTAATCATGACGCTACAGTCACCCTCCACTATTTTCCATAACCCCTCATCCAGCTGAGACATTAATGTGACTCCTTCTGGCTGGAATGTTAATGCATCAGACCTCATGTCGATACTGACACATCAATGACCAATTCTTGTAACAAAGGGTTGTGACGATAGTAATTAAAGCAACGAAAATGATTTTATTCCAGTAAACCAGCTTGCACAATGCCAACACACTGGAAGTGACACATCTGCATGAAATGCAGCCATAGATAAAATAAAAAAAATGTAATGATAGTTGGTTTCTTACACATTTACAGTGTGGCACCTGAGAAATACAGACAGAAATCAGAGTCTAAACTAATTCCATGGAAAAATGACATCTGCTAAAGAGGGAATGCCGTAGAGCTGAGAGAATATCGAGAAAAAGCAAATTAACGATCCACAGAGAGCTTCTTACAAGATCGCTGCTCACCTGCAACAAAGCTGTGCGCTGTGAGAGAGGCCTTTTTCTCTTAAGTGATAAATTCAACAAAAACAATCCGATCACCTTTTAAATGTGTTGCAGCTCTCTGAATATACATGTCCTGCCTCACAATCGAAATGTGAAGAGTTTTGAAGTATTTTTTGAAAATAAGATAAGAAGTATCCGTGCCAGTATTGCAAACACCATAGAAACCCCAAATAACTCAACCCCTACCTCTGACCAGAGAACCCTAGATCAGAAGGTTCTTTTACACAGACTCAAAAGTTGGATTGGTATCCAAGGCACAGCTCTAAACTGGTTCAAAACATACCTCCCTCTCAGAACATATTTTGTTAGTTTCTGTGACCATGCTTCACAAAAGCATGATAACCTTTTGGGCATTCCACAGGGTCCCATTCTTGGTCCTTTACTATTTTGCTTATATATGTTAACACTTTTAATTCAATAGCATAATCACAGCCCTTGTCCATGGTATGAATACCAGTTTCAGGTAATTCCACAATGCACACAACCTGTCAGTGATGATACAAAATAAATGTGAACAATATGTTTTTGAGCTCTCTAGCCACAGAGTAAAGTACTGAGTGTCTGTTATACCTCTTCTACACCAAAATGATCAGGTGGGTGTTAGTGGGTTTTTTGATCAGTGGACAAGGGGTTTTATTCAGGGAGTAGTAAATAAGTGAACAGAGGATTGATTTTAAAGACTGAAGGCCTGTGATTTTTGGTTTTAGGGCCGTTTGTCCTGAAACAACTTCAGCTTCACCAGATCCCAGCTCAGCAGGTTCTTAACAAAATTAATCTAATCAATTCATCATCAACCGTCATCGTCAGTAGCACCAAAAAGCAACCTCAACCATCAATGAGTTATGTACTGGCAGCTGTGTATCAGAGTGTGTATCTTAAATGTCTCACAACGATTCAGAACAATAAACAGAGGAAATAAATACAGCTGGACCAGTGAAAATTGAAAAATAAAGATTTTTGATCTAATAAAGACTCATTTTGACTTTGACTTCTCAGTCTATTTTAGATGTCATGTTTAAACCAGATTTAAGTGTTTAAATGAATAATCAAGAATGTTGATTAAAAAGATCTCAGAAGTGGAACAAGTCAAGTAAATATTTATGCACCGTCCAGGAACTGAATAAGTCACTCCTCCGCAGCGAGTCTTCCACTGCAGTCCGGTGTGCTAACAAACCGGTCCATCCTCGAATTCCACTTCGGGCGGATATGGCCCCATAGTGCAGAAAAACCAAACAAGACTGGTTTCTCCAGGAACAGAGGGTCACTGCCTGGAGTTTGCAGGCTCCCCTTAAAAGGCTAAGAGAGAGAAAGAGCAGCTGTCAGACCGTTGAAATCTTGGAAACCGGACTGTACCTGACAGCAGTCTGACAGGAAGTTGTCTTTGGCCAACACAGAAGGATTAACGCTTCACAGAGCAACAACAAAGAGCAGACGGCCCACATTCAAAAGTTAGATATGTCTTTGCTTGTAGCAAACTGCGGTAATGGTGATCACAGGACCAAGTTTTACTACACTTAAAAAGATCAGGATGAAAACCACCTGACCTGTTACATGCCTGCTTATCATTACTTTTGCTGAAGTAGTTTCAGATTGTAGAAGTCTTATTGATATCAATAGTTAGTTTTTTTTTTTCAAGAAAAGTTAAGTGAGACAAATCACCCACACAGTAGATCTCCACTTCTGTCTTTTTTTTTAAATTAGTAGAAGGTTGAGAGAACATAGAATGATGTGGTATAGGTCAGGGCAAAACCTTGTGATATGGATACAGATCAGGAAGCAGATCCATTCATTTTGTTTCACTTTCTTTGACATTTTGAGAGAGCAATTTAAATATTTTCATTGATCGAGTCAGATACAAGTCAGATAAAACAGGAAGAGCTGCTAAAACAAATTTTCACTGTTTTAATGTCGGTGACAATGTTGAGCATTGGCAATAAAGGATTATAGCATATTTAATGGATCGATATCTACGATTGGTGCAGATTTAAATAAAACATTTTCACTTTAGTACAAATCACTTATGATGTTGAATAATACCAACACTTCAGAACAGTTATCTCAGAACGATAGTTTCACCCTCTGGACATAAATGATGTAGTTGTTATATGATTTTAAGTATTTGTTCCCTTTTCGAGGCTTTCACTATATGCAGTGTTCCTCTTCATTGAACGACACTGGCTTAGCTTTTATCATGTGAACATCCGTCATGTGACAAGAGTTGGAGATCATAACCTGTGTTCCTTTTTTAAAGACGCTCTCTGGTGAGCGATGTGAATGGCCTCTTTAATTTTTTTTTCCCTCAGATCATCGACGGACTCCTGGTCACTACATTGACTCTCAGTTGATTCTATGACTATAGTTGTGATCCACTCACAGACAACATGAGCTGCAGAGCTGCACAACGGGCTCATGAGGCGACACAGACACTCGCTCATTTTGCTAAAAAAAAAAAAAGGCTGTGAGATTTCGTTGAAAGAACGGAAAAAAGTTGCTGAGCTTTTTGTGCTCATGTTTTCAAAAGTCAAAGGTGAACTGTCTTGCATAAAGTTAGTGTAGGTGTAGTAAACTGAAAAGGGTTTCACAGTAAATTGTTGTTACACTTTAACATGCTGTTCATAGTTCACTCTTGAGGTCTGAGACATTTATGTGTCAGTTCAGGTTTAAATTGTTACATTTTGAATCCGTATTGGGGGAAAACCTAGAGATCCATGCACTGAGAAGAATTTAGTTTAACAGCCCTCCACATTATTCCCTCCTGAGAATCGGATATGAAGCGACCTCGGCCCCTGTCAGGTGCAATCATCCCTCATCCCCTGCATGTTAAGGCGTCTGAACAGAGCAGAAGCTGCGGCCCCCTCTCTCTGTGAAAGCACTGGCTTTCCTGAGGAGAGACAGTGGCATCCTGTCCTCGGGCTCGCCGCTCTTCAGTGATCGTTTTGTATTCCTGAAGAGCTGCGGACTCCCACAACTTGACTTCCTGTCTCCTATGCATGCCCCACCACTGCTGTGCCTGACCAGAGAAGCGGAACCCTGTGTTTAAAGTGTGAGCTTTCATTGCCTCCTCTGTCGCCTTTTGACGATTCACTGGGTGCTGACTCGCTAACTCTGCGGGTGCAGAGGGCCTGTGTGTGTGGGTCTGAGTGAGTTTATAATAAGAACAGAGGAGTGGACAGGAAGCTTTTGAAAGACTGCTGGCTAAATGCATAAGTTATTTGCAAGCTGGCTGGAAGGCCTTCATGGTAAATGGTAAATACATTTTCAAAAGTGCAATGACTGATATGAATTTTAATCTCATTTTGATTTTGAAGTGTAAATAGGTGCCAAGCCATTTGGATATGTTAAATGTTTTTGTTAGACATATAATATCGTAGCGATCTGTGAGCCGGTCGTTCTGATTGGACAGTATGAGTGCAAAGGCTCATGGGACGGTTGTATGCGATATCTAGCTGTTTTAGTTATTATTTTAGTAATGTGGTGTTAAAGTTCTGACTTGGTTCATGTGGTTTTTATGACTATGTGTTCAGGAGAGTTTTAAGTGTTATGTTCACTGATAGCACCATGCCCATGGTGTTTGATCAGGCTTGGTCAATGTTGAAGCCAAATAAATCACACCTGTTGTGCAGTATATGAGGCGCACGTCTTGACTTAAACTCTTATGTCTCAGTCTTCCTTCTTCCACGCCACAATATGTAACTATTCCTCATTAAATGTCTTTAAAACATTAGAACTATGTTATATATTTGTTAAGGTTAGAGACTGGACAGACTTTGGATGTGTGACATAAGATCCTGACCTATTGTCAATATACAAATTGATTTCAGTTTTGTGTTCATAGATTTTTTTTTGGTGGCCATCAAATTACTTACTGCAGATATATTATATTTTTTATTTTTTATTTTAATTGGGATAGAGTTAAGCTCCACTGTGGTTACTTTCAGATTCCACAAGAAATTAGCATCTTCTTCTTGCTACATGCACATGTTAGCTTTACTATCGTAGAGTTTGAAGGATGATTAACCATAAAAAGCAGTTTAATTCTATTTGTGATCAGTGGCATTCATTCATCAGACATGATTTTAATGCAGATGAAGATATGCTTAATTGGTTGGGTTGAGTTTGTTACCCTGTCATTACTGTAGTCTTCATAAACACCAGTTCAGTAGGATTCCATCTTTCCTCGCTCCTGCACTCACTTTGTAGAAATGTGAACATAAACGGCTAAACTGGATCCTTTTCTTTTCATTTAGATTCTGCTGTTTACATGTGTCACTCTTTACTTTTACCGGCAAAAGAGGGGAAAATTGTACGTCATACATCAATCCACAAATCTTTCCCCCAGATAGCATGAACCTGCAAAACTGCACACATCCTATTTTGCACCTCCTCGTCTATGTGCGAACACACTCATTGTTTGTATCGACCATACAGCAGCACAGTAAAACACGAGCTTCGACGTCTCACCGGGTCATCGAACTGTGTCAAATGATCTGTGAGGCGGCAGGTGGCACTTCCCCCTTAGGAGGTATCGAGTTAAAAGCCCAGTTTCACTTCCTTCCTGTTTGACCCTTTAGATTATGGGAGTGTGTGTGTAACAGCACGTGTGTCTGTTTCAGGCTACCAGGCAGTTTCTGGAGGAAATCAACAAGTGGACCAGTCAGCATGGCGTGTCGCCGCTGTCCAGAGAACTGGCCGTCAAGTTCCTCATGGCTCGCAAGTTCGACGTCCTCCGAGCCATCGAGCTCTTCCACAGTTACAGGGTGAGGAGATACAGACACTGCATCACTGAGATTAAAACACATTTGCAGCACTGATCGAAAGGACTTTTAAGTGACTTTAACCATTCCTGGCCCCCAAGTTACACGCCCACACTTTTCTGAGAACAGTGTCTAAGAAGAAATTATAATTTGTGAAACATATTTGACCATTTTTATACCACTGAGTGAAAAAATAACTCAAACAAAACACAGTGTAAAGTCTAAAAAGGCTCCTCATTAAGTGAAGGAAATCAAAGTACCCAAGAGTTAGTCGAGAGAGAGAGACACATTCTGGTTGTACTCTGAAGTTCAGTGGTTCGATACCATATATCATTCTGACGTTGAGTGTTGCATAGCAGACACATTACTCCTTCTCATCCATGTGCAAATGTACATTTTTCTTTCCTTTTTGATTGACTGTTGCTGCTCAGCTCAAGGTTGTGAGTGGGTAAAGTGAAACCTTCAGCAACGCAATGATGTCACCCCATTCAAAGTGAATAAGAGGCATTTCCGTTAAACCTTCTAACAAGTATGTATGAGTGCTATGTCAGGTCACTTAAAGACCTTGTGGTAAATGATAAATAATACAAATAATACATTTGTGCAATTAGACAAAGTGTAGGAAATGAGGTAAAGACGTGCATAGTAAATGCAAATTAATCGTGTGTTTTTTGTACAAAAACATTAAAATGCTGCTTCAAAACAGGGGATAGAAGCTAATCGACACACAGCTGGTTGATCCTGACGTGGATCCCGGTACACTCGGTGTGGAGCATCTTCACCACACCCACGGCACACGGCTGTTCTTGTTGAACACATTTCTTCAGAGTCCCGGGGCCAAACACATACACACAGACTAACACACATCAAGATTTCAAGAAGCAGGATTGTTGTTCAGATTTCCAGAGAGTGCGGATCTCCCTGTGCATGAGTCTGTAATGAAGATCACTATGTCCTCCTTTTTATTTCCTGTTTGTTTGCTGTGCTCTCAGCCGCCTCCCTGGGGAGAACCACAGAGTGAAACAGGCCCAAGTTTTCAAACATGCATTGGAGTAATAGCATGTAGCTACAGTATGCTTGCATGATTTCTTTAATGCTGTGTCATGTGCATTATGTGAAAAGCCTAAAAGAGGTTTACAAGACATGTAGACAAAGTATGAACAGGAAAGAAAGACACCAGAGTAGCAGCATCAATAACAACACTACAAAAAAAACACCCTGAGTGTTTTTACAGGAAACAAAGAAACAAAAGTAGCCAAACATTAAAATCAACATTTCAGGATATTCTTAACTCATCGTAATAAGGGTAATCCAGGAGACATGTGATTTGTTCTCAACCTCTCTTAATTCACAAAATCCATACAACCTGTTTTCCTCAGGGATATTTTTAAATCTACCAACTTTGAGGCCAGAGGAACGATTCCTGTCCTCAGCTGTGGAACCAAACCTATATGTGACTGAATATGTTTGTTTTGACCTTGAGGAAATTATCACCGTCTAAACGGAAAGTGATGATCAACATGAAACCGTGGATCTTGGTCTTGTTTACTGAATGACCTGAAGATAGCATCTAGATAATAACATGATGAAGACCTTCTCCTTTAAGCCACGTCATCGCTACCAGGGAGCTGAGGACACTTATTTTTCTCCCTTAAATGGTCTATTCTGCTATAAATTTCACTCTGGCCAATTTTGAATGTACAAATTAGATTTAATCTCTTCAGACGTGCTCCGGTTAATCCACTGCAACAAGCGGAAAGTTCATAGACGTCTCGCGCAGCCTCTAATGACCTGAATACTTTACCACCTACTTTTTTTTTTTTTTTTTAAGTACCAGGTGGGTTCTTACTTCTGCAGTGAATGGTTGGGCCTGCATAAACGCAGCTCATTTGTAAAAGGCCTGAATGTGATTTAGGATTAGACTCCCTCTGCCTCGCCACAGTTCATTTAACTGTGTTTAGTGCTGCGTCAGCACCACAACAGAGGCTGGGAACAAGTCATTTGTCAGAAGAAACGGAGGAGAAAAGTTTCCAGTGAAGCGCTTGTTCAGTCATTGGGGATGAGGGTAGGTACAGGGTGAGGTAGAAGTCGGACAGGCGTAGTTGATGGTGTGAAAAACTTTATCCATTAAATATTTCAGATAAGACGGTATGTAAGATGATAAGACCGGACGCAAGGGAAATTAACATGTTAAAGCAGCAGATATGTAGATAATTGATTTAAATCCATTACAATTTTCACACCTCAATAAACAATCAAGAATCTCAAATATACAGTTTTTGAGTATCTGTGTACTTATTCCAATAATTTCAGGTAATCTGGGAAATTTTTTGCAATTTATGCGTTTACACATTAGATCAACATATCATACATATATACATAGTAATCCTTAAGATGTTTTCTAACCACACAAGGAGAAAGAATGGAGATATCATATTCAGAGGCACAGCTTTTAGTGTTCTTTGTGCCAATAACCTCGCTTTATGCATACCAAGCTCAACATCACCAATTTTAAAAAGAAATGATGCAAAAAGGACAGAAAGCTGAATAAGTATATATAAAAAATTTTTTTAATGTAATCATTCATATGTACATAATTTTCATAAAGAACCATATCCTTAATAAAGAAATTATAAAATTCATTTAAAACATTCAATTAAAGGTGTATCACATTTAACAAAAATTAAAATTAAAACTGCAAGCAATGGTAACAATTAGACCGTCATCACGATCAGCCCATTGTCTTCTCCACATATCTTGTAAAACCAATGGCTGCAGACTAGAGGACAGACACTTTTTGGATCATCTCTGTCCCAGAGAGCAAAATGAGTATGTGCTAGTTAACTAACCAGATAATCGGTTTAAACAGAAAGGGACAGACTGTATTTATCATTTTTTAACTTCAGGAAGTCCATAAATGTCATTTCCCCATTTAGAGAATTTAAATGACTGTCCCTCACATTTTCTTTCATATTTGATAAAGTAGGACGACTAAAACATTTTTGTAAAACACATTTTATACAACTCGATGCACACAAGATTCAGGAACATTGTCTTATTTATGTATAATCTTGTCATGCAATTCCAAGCGGGAGCTTCTGATTGACATTTGCCCCGTCCCTTTCTGTGACGTCACCCCCATGAAGTCCTGTGATTTCAGTCACATGATCTCCATGCTAACCTACAGTAAAAGTCCTGAAGCTTAAGTGTCCCACATTACCCAATGTCCCAGATTAACCAACTTCACCGATTATTAAACTTCAGTGTTTCTGCAAGGTTTTAATGTTTTTCTCTCACTCTCAAAAATCAGAAGGAACTAGAATAACCAACACACTAGCCAACACTTAGCAGTTTACTATAGGTACCTGATTTTATTTTTATCAAGATGAATAAAATATTTGCTGAGAAATCTTTTTAAAACATTAAAACTTTCAACATGCATCCTACCAAGTTTCATGGAAATCTGTTCAGGAGTTTTTTGTGTAATCACAAACAAACACATTTAACAACAAATGAACAAATGGGTTAAAACTGAGAGAAAACATGTTCCATTATAATCAGAGTAAATTAAATTAAAGTGGAAATATGATGGGTTTCAAGTCTTCTCTTCCACATACTGACTGTGATCCCTGCTTCATCAGGGCACCTCAGTCCACATAGTTTCGTAATTATTAAACATAAGAAAACCAGTAAACAAAACTGTAAAAGGAAATGACACCTCCCCAAACCCCAAGGCCTCAGAGTTGGCTCAAGAAACTCCCACTAACCTCCCTGGGTGAGGAGGAATGGAAACCACGCAGAGAGGGATCCTCTCAGCAGGAGAGTCAGGCGTGTAATTTTCCCATTGTTCACAGAGAGGAACTCACCTCAAAGTGACGGCCGCTTTTAGTAACACTGGAGCCTCGCCTCACCTCACACGCAGTGATCTGTTCTCTTCAGGAAACACGTCTGAAAGAAGGAATCGTCAGACTTCAGCCTCAGGAGGAGCCTCTGCGCTCAGAGCTGCTCAGTGGGAAGTTTACTGTGTTGGTGAGTTTGCATTTTACATCTCCTGCACACTCAGCATCGCTCAAAGAGAAAAATCTAATCATTTGTCATGTGAAAGCACAAGTATAAGGCAGATGATACAACTGTACAGCTTCTGTGTTATTCAGAATATTATGGTACATCAGTGAGACACAAGGTTGCACTGGGTGACATGTTCCTCAGCAGCTGAAAATAGTCCATGGTAAATGCTATATTTATTCTTATCACACACATCACATCACATGCATCATGTGCAATATTTATATATCACATTCATCATGTCACTTTAAAA